TCTCGACGATGCAACATAACGTAATCACAAGAAAACACTCGTAAAATCAAGCATTCGATTCAGATATTTCGGACATAAATCGGAAACCCTCATGCGCTGATCAATCGTCCGGTGAAGAAATGTTTCCGGGCAATAACCCTCAATTCCCACCAAATAATGGCCAACAAACGGCTGCAAATAATCTGAACAATGTGGCTGCGGCGCTTTATCTTCACCCGTCGTTGGGTTTATCATCACAAGCCTATTCGCAACTCTATCAACAAGTAAATTTGCTCAAATTTTTGTGAGAATACTGAATTTGTTTGCTTTGAAAATACCTTAAGAATTCATCATTTCGGGCAGGAATCTGAAACATTTCCATACAATGAACTGTTTTATTATAGCATTCAAAAGGATTAACTGATCAACAATAAGCATGAAATCATTTTGCATGATTGATTGTAACGAATACAAAAAAGTTTCTATTTTGATTTCTTGATCTGTCACGAAAGATTTGTGGCCAAGATGACATTAGTTCATAATGGGATAAAGGACAGTGTATGCCTGAAAGTAGTTGGAACGAAAAGCTTTGAATTTAAAAAGTTGATGATACGTTCGCATTTGAAGAATAAGATAACTTGGAAAAGCTTCAGCGAACAGCCATAATAAATTTGTCAAACTTCTTGGAAATGTATGAAAACTGTCCGAGACAGTACCCAAATTCATTGGTAATCTCATAAAAAGATCACAAAATTACAACCAACGGATAGATATCATTTGCAACACTTTACTGACAGTTTGCTGAGAAATAATGTTCATTAGCCTTTAATGAGAATCGTAGTGACCACTATTCAATAGTTCCGCATAAAACATCTTAAAAACAAAACGTTCACGAATGAACAATGAAGATGTATTGGTGAAATTGAACAAACAAATCAAAAAATGCTCATTCTCTTAAAGGGTCAAGCCCAACTGGCTCAGCAACAACTGCAAAGACAAGTCGAGTTTATCGTTGCTCAAGCGCAAAATGCACAAATTCAAGCACTTCAGGTTCATCATTTCATTTTGTTTTCCAGTCCCAAAATTTTCTCTATTTGATCGCATCATGATAACATTAATATCTGTAGCATGACCGGAAGGAATATTGTGGATATTTATCATAATACAACCTGATTCAAGCTGACCCTGAATTCGTAATCGTGATTGATTGATTGATTGATTAAAGTTACATTCGGAATTCCTGATCAAGTGACCGAATTTGAGCTGCGAATCTTTTCTCACTAAGAGAATCCTGTCGGGTGCATGAAAAGAAATTGTAAAATTGTATTTAAAGTAAATAGAGCCACAATGTGAATGTGAATTTGTGCAAAAATCACTTCCATTATAAATCTTATGTTGTGCGATCAGTATTTGGGCACATTTTCAGCAGCAGGTTGCTTATCAGCAACAACAACAAGCCCAAGCCCAAGCTCAGGCGCAAGCCCAAGCGCAAGCACAAGCCCAAGCTCAGGCCCAGGCGCAAGCTCAGGCCCAAGTGCAGGCTCAGGCTCAAGCTCAGGCGGTAGCTCAACATCATAAAGCTCAACAGCAGCAGCAGCAGCAGCAGCAGCAACAACAACAACAGCAACACCAACAAGCACAACAA